TGGTACTAGAAACGCTTCCCGGTTTCTCACCTTCCTGGTGAACTGCTTCTCCAGTTCGCATCCCCCGTAGACGTGGAACGCCTTGAGATTACCCTTGCCGGTGGCCCGCCGAGCGGCAGAAACCGGGAAGTCCAGCATGGAGTCCTGGAAGTCCTGCACCACCTGCGGGTGCGTTGGCAGAAGCAACAAAACAGCGTTGGAGTGGTATGACAACCGTGGCTAGGTTCGCAAGAAGAGATGCACGTCCGTGTCTATCCCTGTTTGGCTTTCTATGCAAGAGGACAGTCTGGTGGTCCTTGGGCACTTACTCTCTTGCGAGGGTATGACGATATCATGCAATGCTGTGATTTGAGCAGAGCAAGCGGGCGCGAGGGTTTAGCTGTGCGACAAGTGCACAGCGCCTAGTGTCGGTGTTGTCGACCAGTGAGAGTACTTGCGTTCATGTGCGGCTCGAGATAGCGCGCCCGCTCCCGGGCGCTCCGGAAGATGTCCTCCAGGGTGAAGGGGTCGTTCTCCAGGCATTCCTTCTNTTGTGATTTGAGCATAGCAAGCGGGCGCGAGGGTTTAGCTGTGCGACAAGTGCACAGCGCCTAGTGTCGGTGTTGTCGACCAGTGAGAGTACTTGCGTTCATGTGCGGCTCGAGATAGCGCGCCCGCTCCCGGGCGCTCCGGAAGATGTCCTCCAGGGTGAAGGGGTCGTTCTCCAGGCATTCCTTCTGGATGAGCCCGAGAGCAAGCGGGATGAGGGCCTCGCGAACGATCCCGTGCAGTGTAGCGCGAGCAGAGGCGATGGCTGTGATGAACTTGTCTGGAACGGCAGGACGAGAAGCAAAGATATGTCAAACAAAGAACACGGGTGATTAGTTTACGTCAAGGTGTCGAAAGGCATCACCGGCAGAAACGGTGCGCACGAAAACAATGATGTGCTGGGTGGTTGACCACGACGGGCGCCACATACATGTTCGTTGGGCTGCCATATGGTCCACGAAAGGGCGGGCCATGTGCGTCCGACGGTTTCCATGATAAGGCTTTCTGTTGAACGCTTGGCGCGGTGCGCGCCGCGCCAACAGCTCGTAGACCGGCAACACAAACGTCGGCGAACAAGATTACACGCTGTGTAGGATGGGGATTGCTATCCCGCAGGTCAGGATAGACATACTCAGGGCGGGGCATCCCATTTCCCATGCTATCACCACCTATTGTACACTTTGCGGGCCTAATGCATGATCGCAACTACGGAAAATACGGTTCCACATTCTTCGACCGATGAAAAAAACCGTCTCAACCAGCCGAACGACTGAAAACAGTGAAAAAACTCGCGGAAAAGCTTACCGAGCCAGTCGGGGTCTCCTTGCCGGGCCGCTACCCACACGTGCGACACCGCCGCGAGGAAGACGTTGTTTGTCTCGTCGCCTTTCTGCCCCCCAGAGAATTGGACCTTCGCGGCGCCGACGAAGGCGTAGCTGTACACGCAGAAGATGGCAGCGACGATCCCATTGGACGGACGCTCCCCCTTCACCGGCTCTCTTTCGTGCTTGCGCGTGTTGGACTTGACCTACCGATCCACGGGAAAAGGTCGGCAGAAAACGGAGATTTGGCCGCGGACGTTTGGGCGGGAGATCAGTGCCCACAACAATGTATGAACACGTGCCGCGGAGCGGGTGATGGTTACCGTTTATTCGTGTCAACGTCAAGCAACTCGAGGAGGAGTAGGAGGAGGGGGCACAACATCACACGCGAATCAATGGCAGAGTGAAGATACAGGACGTGAGTACCACAAGAAATCAGGCCTGCTAACCCGAACACGCGAAGAATAGCAAGAATGGCGCGCCAAGATTAAAGGCGCATGAATAAAAAAAAATAAAAAAGTCTACGAAGACGCTCACCACATGCTGGCGTGACTCCTCGTGTGAGGGTGCCACGGCGGACATGAGAATGCCGAGGAGGGCCGCCTTGGACAAAAGCGAGATGCCCACAGCAACCAGCGCCTGGTACACTGATTCGCCGCTCATGTCCGAGGTGATGGCCACTGAGCTCACACGTCCGCCGCCTCCTGCCGGCGTGTGTGAAGACCCTCCCCCGATCCGGGTGAAGCTGGGCGGGGCCGAAGATGAGACAGCAGTTCCCCCCGCCGTGGCTGGTGCCGCTCTCTCGCGGTAGGCGTAGCCGACGGCACGCCCTCGGGAAGACGTGAAGCTGCCGCGTCCCTGGGACGACAGCCCCCCGGCGGCAGCGGACTTGCCGGGGTCGGACGCACGGCGAGAAGGGCCGCCTTCCCCACGGTGTCCAGGTCCGTCCGTGTCGCCAGAGGTGGGACGCTGGACCGTCGTCGCGGGGCGAGCAGTCGTCGAAGCCGCGGAGGAAGGCGGGCGGGAAGCACCGGAACTCGGTGCTGACTGCTGTGTACGAGCAACAGCTTGACGAGGACGGTGATGAGAAGCCCTGCCCCCGCCGCGAGAGGAAGACCCACCCACCCCGGGGTGGAATGAGCGCCGAGCGCCGCCGATCATGCCGCTGGTGCGAGATGCGGCCTCGGCGTCGCCCGCGGCGCTGTCCTTGGTAACCGGGCGAGGGCTGTCCGTGAACGGGCGAGGGCTGTCGTCGACGAAGCGCATCGGCGGGCCCGGCTTCCTCCGCTTGGGCTTAGCCAGGAGATCGGGGCTCGGCGGGTCGTCGTGGGTGTCCAGCGTGCACTCATCGTCGCTGTCTGTGTCCGCCTGGCAGTCGGAGGGGTGGAACTCCGACTCGGAGTCTTCCAGGTCTGACTCCTGCGAGAGCACGGGGTGAAAGGCGCGACAAGGTTGGGGTGGTTTATTCGTAAGCAAATTCCGGAGAGGTGGAGAACCAAATCGCCAGCCACCTGTGTTCCAACCCCCCCCCAAAAAAAACCACTGCTGTGTTTAAAATACGAGGCGTTTTTTCTGGTTCGGGATTTTCGGATTTTCGGTCATTGCGTCCCCTCCCAATTTTCTGTTGCCGCATCAAGTCGTGCCCTGTGCATGCCAACAACTGATGCTCTTCACACACAGACACCTGGGTGCAACGAAAAGGGCGGGGACCCTCAGGATGCTTGTTCCCCTGGTCCGCAAGCAGTTTTATTCCGTAATTCGTCTTTCGCAAGCAGAGCTGTGCTGTGTGAGCGGTGCCGCACAAACACGGGAGATGCTCTATTTTCGAGCGCAATTTTGTAGCTTCTGCAAACTATTTTAATCGACTGACGCGGGTTGGAGAGAGCACTAAATCGCTTGAAATTCGGCAACAGCAGTGTATAGATGTGTGTACAAGAAGGCACCTGGTCCGAATTTTGGGTCAGGCCTAGAGCGCTCAAACCGATGTTGCCTCTATGCTGCTTTTTGATCAAGACATATGCAAAGCTCGTTCTCTTGTCTGCCTCCAACAACATGAGAAATAAATGGCTTCCGGATCTGGTTCGGTCGCCAACTTTGACCAGGAAACGCGCCGGAGGCAATACTCAAACAACTGGCCCGCGGCACACTGCTGTTGGTAGTGTCTCTCAAGACCCCCTTTGCGAAGCCCGAATTTCGAATCGAGACTACAGCAAGAGCTTTGGTGGAATAACTGTTTCTCCCGGTTTATGAGAAAGATAATGGGGAGCCACGTGTGGTCGAATCTCGAGGACAACAACAAACCCAGAGGTAGTTATTGTGTGGGTTGAAACACAGGTGCAGCTGCGCCAAAGCGTGGGTGCGAATAAACACATCTGCGGTAAATGAGGCGTACAACACCCGCCCGCTACGTGCAGTTTTGCCACGCACGCAAATCTCTCAAACCCAGGAAAATACACTACGGGGGTCGGGGGATAAGCGCCGGGTGGGGTGGTGAAGCAGCGGCAAGAAGAGAGAGGGCAACCCGCATACACCTAGATTTACACTACATACAGATGTTGCNCAAAAAGGCACGTACTACGTCAGTCTCACATCACGTATCCGGTGCTTGACGCTCGCCAGCTTACTCCCGCATAGTTTGTCCCTATTGTTATGTCGGAACTCGCGCGAACTGAGCTGCGAGCTGCGAGTGGGGCAGCTTGCTCTTTATGGCGCGATGGGGGGCCGCTGGTTTGGAAGACCCCACGTATGACCATGATTTACGGCACCCCTCTAGGAAATCACCAAATAAATCAGGAAATCATGACGAGACACGGCACTTCCGGCATGTCAGGCCCGCCAGGGATGCCAGGTTCGCCAGGGGGCGGACAACGGCCATCAAGAGACTCTTTGAG